TGTGTCGTTGTTTGTGGTTGGGGTATGGACGGGGGCGTGGAATTGGGCGTGGACATGGGGCGTGGTCAGGAGTGGGCAGGGGGCGTGGTCAGGAGTGAAGAGTTGGGCGTAGACAGGGGGCGTGGTCAGGAGTGGAGAGTTGGGCGTGGACAGGGGGCGTGGTCAGGAGTGGAGAGTTGGACGTGGACAGGGGGTGTGGTCAGGAGTGGCCAGGGGGCATGGTCAGGAGTGGAGAGTAGGGCGTGGACAGGGGTAGGAGCAGAAGAAAATAGAGAAATAAATATACAGAACTTTTTCGTAATGAAAAGCGACACATCGTTTCTACGTGGAAGCGATGACGAACTGAAAATATTTTAATGCCACAGCTCTTTACTGCCGTTACGTTTTTAACATAACATAATATGTGTGGCGATTTGAGAAATGTGTTCCGGCAAGAATATTAACCATCTCGTTAGAAAAACACACTTAAACCATCGAATTGGATTGCTTAATGCTGTCATCCTTGTTTAGAAATAACCCCAACTCTTATGTCATAATTGTTATATATCTGGAGAAAAAGATAAACTTTCCATGTGGCTACAAAGCATAAAAATAATCTAGATATAGTAATAAATTAGTTACAAATTATGACAACTTTCGTTCAGCAGAATTCTTAAGGAGGATTGCGTGACTCGTAACCATGCAGTCAGAAATCAATAAATATTATGTTTTTGAAATTTGGAAATTTGCATTTAAAACAAACTCGAATGGAATTAGTGAATTATATCACAATCTTAATGACGCAATACAAAGAAATTAAATTAACAAATTAATTAGTTTCCAGCGAAACAAAGCGCCATCATGCTTTCTATGCTCTCAAAAAATGCTTTCTATACTCTCAGATGAAAATGCTTTGTATACTCTCAGATAAAAATGCTTTACTCTCAAACGAAAATGCTTTGTATACTCTCAGATGAAAATGCTTTACTCTCAAACGAAAATGCTTTGTATACTCTCAGATGAAAATGCTTTCTATACTCTACTCTCAGATGAAAATGCTTTCTATACTCTCAAAACATGCTTTCTATACTCTCGAATGAAAATGCTTTGTATACTCTCAAAACATGCTTTGTATACTCTCAAAACATGCTTTGTATACTCTCAGATAAAAATGCCTCCCACAACATTCCAGCTGGCAACACGATGTCCCAACCTGCACACATCTACGGCAGACGATGACTCTAATGGCAGGGTCAGTCCACACTGACGAATCTGTGACACACACACAGACAGGCACACACAGGCACTAGCAGACTGCATGCGGGGGGGGGCAACTACACAGTTTAGTTTTAGTAAGAGTTTTACGGCACTTGCAACACAAGAAGGTCATATAAGGGCCGAGGATAAGAATTGTTACAAGAGAGTAACAAATACAAATATAGAAGGAGGGGAGATAAGGACAATACATTGACATGTTTGGTGGTAAAGAAGGAGCAAACCAGATCAAAGCACCCGCCGACCACCCACGAACAACAGAGCTTGAGAAAAGAGTTGGGAGCGGGGGGTATTTGGTATGAGTTTTACGGCGCTCGCATTTATATTAGGTCGTATGAGCGCGCGGGATTCGAGTTGGCTGTTTTCACGAGAGTTTGTAGCATGGCTTGGTCTTGCTTTATGAAGTGGGGACAGTTGAAGTATTTAGAATTATTATTTAATGCAAAATAAACGTTCTTTTTGTAGGAGTGGGCTCTGGGAACAGGGGGAAAATGGGAAAGAGGGATTCGAATGGAAAAATGAATGACAACTCGGGGACAGGACAGAGGGTGTGTGGGAAGTGGGGCGGGGCGGGGG